TGGTGGTACCAGCTGGGCGGCATAATCCTCGTACGCAGCACGAGAATCAGCGACTAACGCATGCTCCCCGGTAGTGACATCGATTGCTAGCAAGGCAACCGGGTCCGGCGGAGTGAGGAGAGACGTCGCCCCTCTCCTTGCGTAACTCAGTTTCCCGAGTTGGCTGGACGGGGTACGCGTGCCTTGCCCTTGTCTGGGCATTGTGCGGTAGTCTGTACTACGTTGTTGCACCATAGGCACGTACTTCTGACGTAGGTCATAGACCTCGTTGGTGATCTTATAAGCCGTCCATGGCTGCTGCCCAGCTCCCGTCGCCGCTGTCCCTTGTGTCGCCTTGTTCTTGCGAACTCTCTTCGGATGCTTCGGCGGGAGCGCTGCGACAATTCCTCCATCACTCGAGGATGCTGCCGCCGCGTGGTGGTCGTCGATTTCTTCAGAAAACACGGCATTGTTATGTGTCGGACGTTGATAGGTCTGCTTAGCCACATAGTGCGGCTGGGATTGTCTCTCGTTAGCGGCCTTGTCGTTCGTTTGGATGACCAAGTTCGCTCGATCCAGAATGGCCTGGAATGTGGTATAGTCGTACTCATTACCGAGTGCCGACCACAATCCCGTGCACGATCGCGAGAAGAACTCGGATCGTTGATTTGGAAACGTCAAGTCAAGCCTGCTGTGGTCACTATCTTTTGCCACTTCGTTGTCCAGTCTCAAGTTGGCATGTTCCCTTGAGAGCATGTGTACACCTCATTCATGGCCGCCTTCACGACGTTGCGGACCATGAACCGGGTGAACCATAGCTGCTCGAACTCCTTCCACGTAATGTGCGTGTGGAGTTCGGCGATAGTGCACTTGTGTGTAGCCGCTAGGTGGTTCATCCATCCCTGCGCTCCTCCAATCAGCTGCAGATATAATGCCTTCAACATGTCGTCCGCCGGGACCATGCAGCATGATGCTTCCGTGAGGAAGCGTTGCCACCATGACAAGGCGTCCGACTTGTTGTAGTCGTCGAACTTGCTGATGTCGAAGTGCGGCATCTTGAACGTCTTTGTAGCGGCTTCCGATCTCGTCTGTAGCTTGGCGATGTCTGTCTTGATGGCGGCCACCGTGCTGCTGATCGAGTCTGGTCCAGTGAACGTACTTATGTCGCCGATGATGGTGACGACGTGATCGATGCGCTCGTTGAGTTGCTTCGTCACGTCTGTCGTGCAGCCTGGCGCTGCTGAGGCGTTAGCCTCTATGCTGTTGACGCTTGTGACGGTGGAATTCAACAGTTGATGCTGTTGCTGCTGTTGCATTGCCTCTGTGCGGATAGCAATGGTTAACGTAGTCATATCATTCTTTTATGTTTGTCGCTGCGTCGCGTCCGTGCGAAGATGTGACTGCAGCAGTGTATTATTCCACATAATACCTCTCATCATGCCCARCAGCAAGTTAGCCAGGTTACTTCTCTCTGTCTCCGCCGGTGTCGGGTCTGCCTGCGCTTCTGTAGGCACAAAGATCATGTCTTGGAGTATCGTCGTCCACTGATGCTCACAAGCAATCAAGGACTCCGTGCTGCTGGCATTCC